GGCACTTGTCCGGGGGCCCCACGAGCATAGGGGCCCGCTGGGCACTTGCCCGGGAGCCCACGAGCATAGGGGCCGGCTGGGCACTTGCCCGGGGGCTCCACGAGCATAGGGGCCCGCTGGGCACTGTGCCCGGGGGCCCCACGAGCATAGGGGCCGCGCGGGGCACTTGCCCGGGGGCCCACGAGCATAGGGGCCCGCTGGGACTTGCCCGGGGGCCCCACGAGCATAGGGGCCCGCTGGGCACTTGCCCGGGGGCCCACGAGCATAGGGGCCCGCTGGGCACTTGCCCGGGGGCCCCACGAGCATAGGGGCCCGCTGGGCACTTGCCCGGGAGCCCCACGAGCATAGGGGCCCGCTGGGCACTTGCCCGGGGGGCTCCACGAGCATAGGGGCCCGCTGGGCACTTGCCCGGGGGCCCCACGAGCATAGGGGCCCGCTGGGCACTTGCCCGGGGGCCCCACGAGCATAGGGGCCCGCTGGGCACTTGCCCGGGGGCCCCACGAGCATAGGGGCCCGCTGGGCACTTGCCCGGGGGCCCCACGAGCATAGGGGCCCGCTGGGCACTTGTCCGGGGGCCCCACGAGCATAGGGGCCCGCTGGGCACTTGCCCGGGGGCCCCACGAGCATAGGGGCCCGCTGGGCACTTGCGGACGCGTTTTAGATACGATGGAAAGGTCCAAGACAAGGAAATGGTTATATCAAGGAATAAATAATACTGTGTTAGTTATGACAGGCGGACTGTTCGTCTTGTTGACACATGTGTTTAGTAGCTAACGGGTCCCCCACGTGGAGGAGGGGGGAGGGGTCCCCCACACGGAGGAGGGGGAAGGGGTCCCCCACGTGGAGGAGGGGGGAGGGGTCCCCCACACGGAGGAGGGGGAAGGGGTCCCCCACGCGGAGGAGGGGGGAGGGGTCCCCCACATGGAGGAGGGGGAAGGGGTCCCCCACATGGATTAGGGGGAAGGGTCCCCCACATGAAGGAGGGGGAAGGGGTCCCCCACACGGAGGAGGGGGAAGGGGTCCCCCACATGGAGGAGGGGGATGGGGTCGCCCCAGGTGGGGAGGGAGGACCTGGTGGGCATCACCAACACGGCCAGGATACATCAGTGTAGTAGTGTTGTGAAGGGTGGCGAGGACGGGCTGGTTGGTCTCCCCCGTGGTGCACCTTGTCTCAACCTATCAACGGTATAGGTGAAGTAATAATTGTAATTAAGAAGCAATAAGATGCTTATCTTAACATACTAAGAAGGTTAGGTGAGGTCGGTGTTTTCTATGAAGCTTTTCAAGGTAAACTAAAATATTTACAATCAATTAGTATGTCACATATGCACTTAATAAATAAGCCAATATTGGCTATAAGTGCGAGAACGGGTTGCATCCATCACCCGCGTACTCAGTGACCTTCTCCGCATCTACTGATTCTCTTACCAATAATCTAACACATTAAGTAGTGGAAATAACATGCAAAGATTCAAGGGATTATATGCATATGGTGCGTGTTTGTCCTGGCTTGAGGGAGGCTGTTCACCTGTGTACTATCATGGTTATCTGAGGTTATCTTGAGATGATCTCGGGGCTTTTTTTAGTGTCCCCGCGGCCCGGTCCTCGACCAGGCCTCCACCCCCAGGAAGCAGCCCGTGACAGCTGACTAACACCCAGGTACCTATTTACTGCTAGGTAACAGGGGCATAGGGTGAAAGAAACTCTGCCCATTGTTTCTCGCCGGCGCCTGGGATCGAACCCAGGACCACAGGATCACAAGTCCAGCGTGCTGTCCGCTCGGCCGACCGGCTGGTAATGAGGCCCTAATTACACGCTAGACGTATCTAAACGAGCAGCTTATGTCCTTCGTTAACCCTTATTGTGCTTGTCTGTCCCTTCACCTCACTTGCTGTACTCTCCTTCATGTGCTCAGCTACATGTGCTTGCACAATCAAGCTACGCTCACAGTTCCGCCTTCTGAACGTTTTTAGATTATTGTAATGACTCATTTCTCAAGCTTTTATCATATTTACATTTAAATTATTGAATTGAGTTAGCTTCAATGACTTCTACATCTACTCTGTTCCGCTTATTGACAGCTCTAAACTTATAAAGTTCTTTCTGACATCTTTGCGAATCATTTGTGTCTGTTTTCCCTCTATGGCGCCTCGTTCTGCTGTTGCCAGCTTTGAATAACGCCGCTTTGACGGCTTTCTCAATTACAAGAGGCTGTGTGTGACCACGCCTTTGGACGACATTTGTGCGTGCGTCCGTATTCCCGCCTCAGTCACGAATACGGCCGCTCACAGCACTTTCCGTGAGTCTCTGCATCAGTCATGACCACTTTCCCGCCACCCAACGTGATAATGTCCACGATACAGTCACTGCAGGTGTCTGCCACCTATTAATACCTTCAAAGATCCACATTCTTGTTACTAGCGTCACCACATCTTCTACTCCTCATCTGAAGTACTGCACTTGTTATTATCGGGTATTACCTTGGGAACATTGCAGTACTAGTCATACATGATGATGTGGTCTTCAGTATGCTATTACACCAGTGTTTGTGCCCTCAGTACTTCTTTCAATTCATCTGCTTTATTTGACACTCCATCAGCACTGGTCTACCAAAACTACAGACAGCAAAAAGGAAGAGAAAGAGAGAGAGAGAGAGAAAGAGGAAGAGAAAGGAAAGAGAAAGAGAAAGAGAGAGAGAGAGAGAGAGAGAGAGAGAGAGAGAGAGAGAGAGAGAGAGAGAGAGAGAGAGGTGGGCGTGGCATCAACACAAGACAGCATGAACCTGAGTCGCCTGTGTGATACTGGTATTGATCTCCCTCACCCTCCCTCTCTATAATTCCCCCTTTCTCTCACTTCCCCTCCCTGTGACTCTCCCTCACTCTCCCTGTGACTCTCCCTCCCTATGATTTCCTCCCTCCCTATGACCTCCTCCCTCCCTATGATTCCCCCGTCTCTCATCCCCCCCCCTTATGACTCCCACTACCTCACCCTTCCTCCCTCTCTGTGACTCCCCCTCTCCCTCACCCTGCTCCTGTGATTCACCCTCCCTCCCTCCCTCTCTAGGCCTCTCTTTCACCCTATGATTTCCCTTTCTAACTGATGTCATTTAAGGAGTTGTTTAGCGAGGCTAAAGACAGTTCAGTAATTGATGCTGGTTATCAGGTGGAGCCACAAGAGAGAGGCACAAGTCCTGCCCAGGCGAGAGAGAAAGAGGAACTCACCCTGAACAAACAGCCACACGGGAAAAGGATCCTGTAGCGGAATAATCCAAGGCGGCACCAAAACGGATCCGCGCCCATGACAGTCAGGCTCTTGTGTTTACCATACGTGGAGGCTCATCACCTGCCACGCGCCAGTCACCACAACACTGTCGACGGCGGGCAGTACTCCATGCAGATAATGAAGGGCACCTACTACAGCTACACACTACAACACCATACTAGCCATCACCACGTACATCAAGGCACTATAATCACAGCTCTGGTATACCTACTTCCTGCGAGTTCTGCACTTCCCACATGTCTTCGGAAACATCTGAGGGATCTCTCTGATTGGTGGATCTTGTTTCCTCACGTTACCGTCAGCGTTCTGATTGGTTGCACTCTCATTAAAGTGCCGTGGTTGGAGTGACTTGCGGGTCATAAAAGGAATATTTGAGGAGTGTATTAAGCGTGGTGTTGTTCTGGAGAAGTGTAAGGCACTGTAGCACTGTAACACCACTCAACACACACCATACATCGTCTCCTCGTTACTGTGGTCACTTGTAGTGGCGCTGTCAAGTCGTTGACAGGGGGTGGGGGAGGGCAGGTACCTTGAGCAGCAGCAGGTGAGTCTGGAGGTCAAGCGGGTGTAGTGCCACCTTCTGCCCGGGTGAGTGGTGGCGGTGAGGAGTGTCACATTATACACACGGCACCTCCCTCTACGCCGTCACTGCCCGTCACACTCCGTCACCTCCCCGTAACATTATTCACACTTCCTCACACCTCAATGTTTCCATGTGAACCCTTCTTCAACTGCCTCTGTAGTCTTGAGTGGGGGTGCCTGTGTCTGGGGTAATGTATCCGGTCTTGGTTGACACCCGGAGGCTTGGGTGCAGGTGTGTCATCCCGGGACTGGCCTACACACCTGGCTCCACACCAGGCTCCACACCAGGCTCCACACCAGGCACCACACCCCTCACAACACCCTCCACCTCCGCTCCTCCACCAACACGCTGCAATACATCACAATACATTAGCTTGCTGCTACAGGAAACAACATGACAACATAGACATATATACACAAACAGATAGAGCAATGTCAAGCAATGTAGTAATGTGTCAATATGCGAGATATTTTCACACATGTATCATTATACGGAGCCTTGTCAGCAGGTGCTCCAGCGGCCGCCGCATACAACACTGTATCACCAGTGTGTGTGGGGCCGAGGGAGATGTGTGTGTGTGTGTGTGTGTGTGTGTGTGTGTGTGTGTGTGTGTGTGTGTGTGTGTGTGTGTGTGTGTGTGTGTGTGCACATAATGTGAGCTGGGGGTGTGTGAGAGGGAGGAATAAGAGTGGGGTGGAGGGGAGGTTGTGGGGAGCAGACACGGGGGTCACTGACGACTGGCACCAAGAGGGCCACCACCAACACCCTCAGGCCAGAGTGTGCCAACAAGGCCAGCAGCAGTAGTTAGGGTGACACCAACTACTGCTGGGGTTCCCTGCCCCACACTCTGGGAGTGACCCGGTGTTGGAGTATGCAGGTGCTGGACAACCTCACACTATTATCACCATAGTCACCCACTGTCACATTATATATATATATAGAATTTGTAAGGGATATGATAAGCATTTGTACCATGGGAGAGGGTGGGGGAGAGGTGGACGGTAGGCACCATGGGAGGGGGTGGGGGAGGGGGACGGTAGGCACCATGGGAGGGGTGGGGGAGGGGGACGGTAGGCACCATGGAAGGGGGTGGGGGAGGGGGACGGTAGGCACCATGGAAGGGGGTGGGGGAGGGGGACGGTAGGCACCATGGGAGGGGGTGGGGGAGGGGGACGGTAGGCACCATGGGAGGGGTGGGGGAGGGGGACGGTAGGCACCATGGAAGGGGGTGGGGGAGGGGGACGGTAGGCACCATGGAAGGGGGTGGGGGAGAGGGGGACGGTAGGCACCATGGAAGGGGGTGGGGGAGGGGGACGGTAGGCACCATGGAAGGGGGTGGGGGAGGGGGACGGTAGGCACCATGGAAGGGGGTGGGGGAGGGGGACGGTAGGCACCATGGAAGGGGGTGGGGAGAGGGGACGGTAGGCACCATGGGGGGGAGAGAGGGGACGGTAGGCACCATGGAAGCGGGTGGGGGAGGGGGACGGTAGGCACCATGGGAGGGGTGGGGGAGGGGGACGGTAGGCACCATGGAAGGGGGTGGGGGAGGGGGACGGTAGGCACCATGGAAGGGGGTGGGGGAGGGGGACGGTAGGCACCATGGGAGGGGGTGGGGGAGGGGGGCGGTAGGCTCCATGGGAGGGGTGGGGGAGGGGGACGGTAGGCACCATGGAAGGGGATGGGGGAGGGGGACGGTAGGCACCATGGGAGGGGTGGGGGAGGGGGACGGTAGGCACCATGGAAGGGGGTGGGGGAGGGGGACGGTAGGCACCATGGAAGGGGGTGGGGAGAGGGGGACGGTAGGCACCATGGGGGGGGAGAGAGGGGACGGTAGGCACCATGGAAGGGGGTGGGGGAGGGGGACGGTAGGCACCATGGAAGGGGGTGGGGGAGGGGGACGGTAGGCACCATGGAAGGGGGTGGGGGAGGGGGACGGTAGGCACCATGGAAGGGGGTGGGGGAGGGGGACGGTAGGCACCATGGGAGGGGGTGGGGGAGGGGGACGGTAGGTACCATGGGAGGGGGTGGGGGAGGGGGACGGTAGGCACCATGGAAGGGGGTGGGGGAGGGGGACGGTAGGCACCATGGAAGGGGGTGGGGGAGGGGGACGGTAGGCACCATGGGAGGGGGGTGGGGGAGGGGGACGGTAGGCACCATGGAAGGGGGTGGGGGAGGGGGACGGTAGGCACCATGGGAGGGGGTGGGGGAGGGGGACGGTAGGCACCATGGAAGGGGGTGGGGGAGGGGGACGGTAGGCACCATGGGAGGGGGTGGGGGAGGGGGACGGTAGGCACCATGGAAGGGGGTGGGGGAGGGGGACGGTAGGCACCATGGGAGGGGGTGGGGGAGGGGGACGGTAGGCACCATGGGAGGGGTGGGGGAGGGGGACGGTAGGCACCATGGGAGGGGGTGGGGGAGGGGGGGGGGGATGGGGGTGGGGGAGGGGGACGGTAGGCACCATGGGAGGGGTGGGGGAGGGGGACGGTAGGCACCATGGGAGGGGGTGGGGGAGGGGGTGGGGATGGGGGTGGGGGAGGGGGACAGTAGGCACCATGGGAGGGGGTGGGGGAGGGGGTGGGGGAGGGGTGTGGGGGAGGGGAAGGTGTCTGAACAGTCTACCAGTCGTGATCATTTTACTCAGCGATCAATAAATGCCGCGTGACTCACCCCATCTCTCTCACTCTCTCTCTCTCTCTCTCTCTCTCTCTCTCTCTCTCTCTCTCTCTCTCTCTCTCTCTCTCTCTCTCTCTCTCTCTCTCTCTCTCTCTCTCTCTCTCTCTCTCTCTCTCTCTCTCTCTCTCTCTCTCTCTCTCTCTCTCTCTCTCTCTCTCTCTCTCTCTCTCACTCTCACTCTCTCACTCTCTCTCTCTCTCTCTCTCTCTCTCTCTCTCTCTCTCTCTCTCTCTCTCTCTCTCTCTCTCTCTCTCTCTCTCTCTCTCTCTCTCTCTCTCTCTCTCTCTCTCTCTCTCTCTCTCTCTCTCTCTCTCTCTCTCTCTCTCTCTCTCTCCGTCAAAGACAATAATAATAGTCTACACCTGGGTATCCCCTCTCCCTTCCAGTATCTTCCCCTACCTTATTTCTCTTTCCCTATCTCCATCTCTCCGTCACCAATGTTCCCACTATCACTTCCCTTCTTTATCTCACACCTCTTCCCCCTGCTCTTCTCTCTCCATCCTCTCTCCCAATCTCCTCCGTTTCTCACCTCTCTTACTTTCTTCCCTCTCTCCACGTGTCTCTTTCTATCATTCTCTTTCACCCTGTGCCACTCTCCTCCCTGCTTCTCCGCCCCTTCCCCCACACACACTGTCTCTCTCAAAAAACTGTATTATGACTTATTCTATTCACACATGTAAGCACCTGTAATGACCTAAGTGTAGTTACAGGGTGAGAGCTACGCTCATAGTGTCCCGTCTTCCCAGCACTCTTTGTCGCATAACGCTTTGAAACTACTGACAATTTTGGCCTCCACCACCACCACCATTTAGCTTGTTCCAACCGTCTACCACTCTGGAAAAGAAAACTTTCTAATATTTGTTTCGGCACCTTTGTTTCCTTTGCTTGACTCTGTGTCCTTTTGTTCGTAATGTTGCTGGTTTCAGGAATTCCTCTTTGTCAATTTGATCGATAATTGTTAGTATTTTGTAAGTGGTGATCATATCACCTTTTTTCTTCTACTAGTTTTGGCACGTTTAAAGCCTCTAGTCTCTCCTCGTAACTCTTGTTTCTCAATTCCGGAAGCCATTTTGTAGCATGTCTTTGCACCTTTTCCAGTTTCCTTATGTGCTTCTTGAGATATGGCCACCATACAACTGCTCCATATTACAATTTTAGTCTCACAAAAGTCATGAACAGATTCTTTAGTATTTCACCACCATATAATTAAAAGCCAGTCTGAAGTTGGAAAGCGACGCATCCGCTCCTCTCACAGTGTTCTTTATGTGTTCCTCTGGCCACACCTTACTATAAACCCCCCCCCCCCACCCCCCTCTAGGTCTCCTTCTGTATTACAGTTCTGTAATTCCATTCCCAATAATTTGTAAGTTGTGTGAGGAAGAATGAGTGGAGAGAATGAGTGTGATGAGTAGCCTGCACTGGCAGACTCTGGGTGCATTATGAGCACATCATCAAGAACACCAGAGGCCAGATTCACGAAGCAGTTACGCCAGTACTTACGAACCTGTACATCTTTCCTTAATCGTTGACGGCTTTGGTTATATTTATTAAACAGTTTACAAGCATGAAAACTTGCCAATCAACTGTTGTTATTGTTATAAACAGCCTCCTGGTGCTTCGGAGCTCATTAACTGTTTAATAATTGTAAACAAAACCGCCAAAGATTGAGAAAAGATGTACAGGTTCGTAAGTGCTTGCGTAAGTGCTTTGGTGAATCTGGCCCAAGAGTGAAGACGGCAGCTGTGATACTAACATCACGACGCACTTAAACTGGTGAATAAGTCTACGGGAAACACAAACAATATTTCAGATTTGACTTGATGAAAATCTTATGAGTTCAAAAAAATATTCTTCAACATATATATATAGAAAGGAACACGCGGTAAGAGTTACTTAGTAACCCTTGCCACGTGAGGGCAAGTAACCGGGTATTACACACATTACTAATTATGCAGTGCGTTTCACGAGTAATGGAAAATTATTTAGAGAGTTTCGTATTAAATTTGTCGTGATGGGGAAGTGGGGGGATGGGGGGGGTGTTAACCCCAGAGAGGTCACCTATAATATATGAATTGCTCAAGAAATTTGGTAAATAATATAGTTTTCTTAAGTCATACTTTAAATTCAGTTTGTTGTTTGCGTGTATGATTGTTTGCGTGTATGATTGTTTGCGTGTATGATTGTTTGCGTGTATGATTGTTTGCGTGTATGATTGTTTGCGTGTATGATTGTTTGCGTGTATGATTGTTTGCGTGTATGATTGTTTGCGTGTATGATTGTTTGCGTGTATGATTGTTTGCGTGTATGATTGTTTGCGTGTATGATTGTTTGCGTGTATGATTGTTTGCGTGTATGATTGTTTGCGTGTATGATTGTTTGCGTGTATGATTGTTTGCGTGTATGATTGTTTGCGTGTATGATTGTTAGCGTGTATGATTGTTTGCGTGTATGATTGTTTGCGTGTATGATTGTTTGCGTGTATGATTGTTTGCGTGTATGATTGTTAGCGTGTATGATGTTTGCGTGTATGATTGTTTGCGTGTATGATGTTTGCGTGTATGATTGTTTGCGTGTATGATGTTTGCGTGTATGATTGCTTGCGTGTATGATTGCTTACGTGTATGATTGTTTGCGTGTATGATTGTTTGCGTGTATGATGTTTGCGTGTATGATTG